CTCAGTAATGGCTGGTGGTTTCCACATCAATGGGGTGGTGAATCTACTCCAGGTTTTAGACCAAACTTAATGGAAATATACAAGAAATGAAAATATGTTGGGATGACTGTTTAGCACTTTGGGTCACTCCATTAAAGTGGTTTCACATGAGACAGAGTCCACCAACTGCCATGTGTTGAGATCCCTGACCTCCCATCTCCGATTCTTGCTTCGAGATTTCTGTGAATATGTTTAATAATAATCATAAGGCTCATACAGTTGGAGATGACCTGAAAGGTCATGTAGTCTATCAATGCAGGGAATGTAACCCTACCAATGTAGGAAATATTCTGCAGGAGCCATATTAATCCAGTATCTGCATTAAACCATGTAATAAAAGAAAGTACTTTCAAAGTGATGTCCTAACAAACAGTTCATGCTGTTATGAGGCTTTTCTTAGTGCTTACTCTGTATTGTATGAGCCAAATAAACTCCATTCTCTTGGCAGAGAGTCTGGATGATGCAGGGCTGCATCCTCATGTCTGGCATGAACAATCCAGATGACATCTGGCCGATTCAACTCCAATCCCAGGGTATATCCCTCTTAAAATGGAGTAATAAAAACCCTGTTTGCTTTGGCTCTTCTTGGAAGATCCAGAGCTGTTCTTGTTCTGATGTTGGGTGACTGTTTAAAACGCATCCTACTGTGCCACCTGGTGCGACCACCAATGCTTCACATCTCTCACTCCAAGGTCAGAATGAGGTGCCCAGCCATGTGAACGGAGCCTTATTCTGACATCAGAGCAAGTGATGCAGCAGCTATACCACATGGCAAAGCAGGACATGCATGCAAACAGCTACCTGATGCCCTAGGTAACAGGTTGAAGTCAGGGTTCCTATCTCTTGTAATTTCAGCTCCTTGGTTCATGCCTTACCCCATGGAGTAACTTTAAAAGCAATTCATAATTTAACAGAACAGAAAGCAGATAAAAAGAAAATCAATTAATTTGAGATGTGATACTGGAAAAGAGTGCTGAGGATACCATGGACAGCCAGAAGGACAAACTAATGGGTCTTTGTAGAGATTAAGCTGGAAGCCAAGATGATTATGGTAAATTAAGGCTGTCATGCTTTGGCAATATCATGAGAAGGCACAACTCATTAGAAAAGACAATAATGCTAGGAAAGGTAGAAGGCAGCAGAAAGAGAGGAAGACCACATGTTAGATGGCTGGAGGTCACAGGCCTGAATCTACAAGACCTGAGAAGATCAGTGAAGGACAGTGGGACTTGAGACCTTATCACACGGGGTCTAAAGCAGACAGAACCCCGTCCCATCCCCGTCCCATTGCGGGTTTTTTTCCCATGTGTTCACATGACGTCGCACAGAACCCCGTCTCATTCCCGTCCCATTGCGATTCCTTTTCCCGTGTGTTCACACGACGTCGCAGAGAACCCCGTCCCATCCCCGTCCCAATGCGGCATCATCCCCATTCTTTTGAATGCCAGTTCCCTGGGGAATTACATTTGTGCGACCAGAATGATACCGGAATGATGCTGCTTTCGTTCATTGCGCAATGATGCTAGTTGCGTCTGATAGCAATTTCAGTCTTGTGGGGTCTATACCGGTATAGTTCTGGATTGATTCCATACCGCTTTCTTGCCGCTTTGAGACCCGCATGTGATAACGTCCTTGGAGATGTCTCATACACGGGCTTGCCAAGAGTCAATGTTGACTTGAGAACAGCTAACAACAACAACAAAGCTAGCTAGCTTGCACCATCCCCTCTGCTATCACTTTGCTCACATGAAGAGCTCTGAGTTTGAAGCTGAGAACCTTCTGTGTATGTGGCTTTTTGTGTGAGCCAGAATCTGGGAAAACGAAGGGCAGGAATTGTGTGGAGAGTCTCTATGGATGCAGGAGGTTCTCATTTTTCATGTGAGCAAAGCTATGAGACAGGACACAGGGCTAGTGGGCTCTTCTTTTCATATTTGAAATTAAACCTAAAGGAGAATGGCTGATTTACGGCAACCAGTCACCCAACAACCCAATCAACTGATATTCCTATTGATACTAAAGGGGACCAAAAAGAACAATTGCATAACAAATAAATAATAAAGCTTTAGTTTTCTTCTTGTTGCTGTTAACTGCCTTCGTATCGATCTTGACCCATGGTGACCCTATGGATGAGACATCTCCAGACCCCTGTCCTCTATTGCTCTGCCCAGCTCCTGCAAACTCATATTTGTGCTCTCTTTAATACAGTCCATCCATCTAGCATGTGGCCTTCCTCTCTTTCTACTTACCTCCACCTTTCCTAACATTATTGTCTTTTCCAACGATTCATGCCTTCTCATGATGTGTTCAAAGTACGACAGGTAAGTCTTGTCATCTTGGCTTCTAGGGATATCTCTGGCTTGATCTGCTCTAGGACCCATTTGTTTGACCTTTTGGCTGTCCATGGAGTCCTCAGCACTCTTCTCCAGCACTACATTATCTCAAATGCATTGATTTTCCTCCTATCTTCTTTCTTGATTGTCCAGCTTTGACATCCATACATGGTAATAGGGAATACGATGGCTTGTATGATTCTGACTTTTGTGCTGTGTTGTATATCTTTGCATTTTTGGATCTTTTCTAGTTCTTTAGTCTAGAAAAACTAATTCCAGTATCAGCTAAAACAACAATAAAGGACTTTCACTATGTTCTGCCTTGATAATTAGTCACAGCAATAGGAAACTATGAAGAGTTCTGGAGGGAGACAGAGCTGGTTGGGAAGGCCAGCATGGTGTAGTGTTTTGAGCATTGGACTATGACTCTGGAGACCAGGGTCTGAATCCTCATTCAGCAATGGAAACCCACTATGACCTTGGACAAATCACATTCCAGAGGAAACCAAACTGGGCTAAGTGTTGTACGTTTGAAGCATCTCACGGCTTTCAGAACTGAAGTCCATGTAAACATCTCTAGTTAGTCCCAGTTACAATAGACCCATTGCCTCAATGGCTAAACTCTCTCTATGGCTTCAAGTTGCTTGTGGACTTATGGTGACCTCATTAATTTCATCGGGTTTTCTTAAGCAAGGGATTCTCAGAGGTAGTTTTGCCAGTTCCTTCCTCTGAAATGTAGTTTACAGCACCTGGTATCCATTGGCGGTCTGTAAGTCAACATTTATGAAAATCCAATGTAAATGCCATTGATTCAAGGAACCTACTTTAGTTGGAACTAGTAGTTGAATTTAGGACAGTATTTTTACAGCCATCCACTCATTCAAATATTGAGACTAGCCATTGGATTTAGTTGACTAGTTTATAAGGCACTACTTCTGTACACAATACATTCGACCAGTTTGAGTATTCAAGCTATTCTTTCCTTGCTCAGCCACTGACCACTACAGCAGGCATTTTGTTAACATAAAATGATGGAGAAGAAGCAGTTCCCTCTGCTGCAAGGAGCTGCAGGGAAGCAGTCACCAGCTAAATATTAGCAAAACAATCTTCCTAACAGCATGAGCCATTCTGTAGTGGGCTCTCTTTTGCTGGAGGTATTTAAACAGAGGATGGAGGGCCATCCATCAGGAAAAATGTATACTGCACCTTGAATTGCAGATCTTAGACTGAAGAGGATGTGGATTAGATGACTTGTGAGATCCCTTCTCTCTCTCTAAAATTGAATGAGATGATCTCATCTGCAGATAAGAATCTACGTTTTCATTTAGTCAAATCAATTTAAGAGCAAAACACATGTCTAGCGCAAAACAGAAAGCTGAATATGATGCAGAAAAAAGCAGTCTAAATGAAGACCCTTGTTCTTGTGTGAAAATAAAATTTCCATCTAGAATACTTTTCATATTTATTTTATAAATTTTATAAATATTTCATATTTATTTTATAAATGGATTTTAAATTTCCTGGACTTTGAGAATCTCCCTATAGCTACAGGGCCAGAAGGAGGAGGATCCTGCCTGCAAAAGATATCCTCCCCACCATATACCATCTTAACTAAAGATAAAATCAACAAAATGCAGGCATTTGATTAACATCTCCAATTGTTTTTTCCCTGTTTGGTTTGTAACATCTTGCCTGATGAAGAAGCTCATTGCATTTTGGTTAGCCAATAAAGGTATCACTGATCGATTTTTGTTTGAATTTCATATTTATGTTTGTTGTTGTTGCTGTGTGCCTTCAAGTTGTTTCTGACTTATTGCGATTTAAAACTTATCATGGGGTTTTCTTGGCAAGTTTCTTCAGAGTGGGGTTGCCTTTGCCATCCTCTGAGGCTGAGAGAGTGTGACTTGCCAAAGGTCACCCAATGGGTTTCCATGCCAAGCCAGGATTCGAACACTATCTTTCTATATTTGTGTTTGTGATAAAGTTTCTCAGTATTTATTGCTGTTTGTGAATTACAACCTATGCATACAAATTCTGAAAAAGGTGACAAGATGTATGATCAGGGTCTATTTTGGACAGATACTACAGAATCTTTTTATGCCTGACTTTTCTGTGTGAGCAAAGCCTAATGGTCAACATTTGCACATTGTCGCCCCCCCCCCAATAAATGAGGTGAAGATTGAAAATGCTCATTCTCATTTTATGTAAATTCCCTCCAGGACAGCTGTGATTAGCCACACTGTAATATTTTCTGAACACAAGTTAAATATCTTTTTATTTGCAGAAGTGTTTGGCTGCTGATTTGCTTGTTGCTCCACTTTTTCTATAGACTTTAAAATGTAATATTCTAATGATTTTGCTGAGAACCAGTGTGGCATAGTGGTGTAAGCACAGGAGTAAGACTGGAGACCAGGGTTTGAATTCCAATTTGGCCATGTAAACCCATTGGATGACCTTAGGCAAGCCACACTTTCTTAGCCCCAGAGGATGGCCATGGCAAACCCCACTCTGAAGAAACTTGCCAAGAAAGCTCCATGATAGGAGTTCATGGAGCCTTAGGGTCGCAATAAATCAGAAATGACTTGAAGGCACACAACTACTACAGTGATTTTGCTAGGAGCCAGTATTCTGGTCTGAGCATGGCATAGTGGTTGAGCATTGGATTACAACTCTGGAGACCAAGGTTTGAATCCTTGCTCAGCTGTGGAAACCCACTGGGTGACCTTGGGCAAGTCACATATTCCCAACCTCAAAAAACCCCGGTCTAGGTTTGTCTTAGGGTTGCCATAGGTCGGAAACAACTTGAAGGCACACAACAGCAGAATGATTTTGCTATAATAGCATTATTCTTCTTCTTTGATTGGTATTTGTGTATATTTGTAAACCACTCTGTGCTACTATTTTGGAAAAAGGCTGAGAGACACAGCCTTGTTAGTCTGGAAAATCAATGTTCAGACAGACCTTGTAGCATCTCATGCATCTGAGGAAGTAGGCTCAGGTCTATAAAAGCTCATGCTACCAGCTTATTTCATTCAGTCAATTCTCAAAGGAGATACAAGATCTCTTTGCATATAGACCAAAGAGGAACACATGATTCCTAAAGTGCGTGTGAGCCATGGTGGCCTTCCGGATATTTTCAAATTTCTTGTTGTGCTGTTGTGTTGTTGTTAAACGCCCTTGGGTCGAACTTGACTCATGGTGACCTTGTGGATAAGTCATCTCCCAAGATTCCCATTGCTCTGCTTAATTGAGCCACCTGGAAATGCTTAATTGAGCCACCGGTCTCTAACTGAGTCTAGATGTGGTGCAAATATGACAACCTCAGTTGGATCATCTTGGCTTGTAGAGGTATTTCAGGCTTCATCTGTTCAAGGACCCATTTGCTTGTCTTTTTGGCTGTCCACAGTATCCTCAGCAGTCTTCTCTAGCACTACATCTCAAATCAATTGGTTTTCTTTTTATCCACTTTTTTTATCCACTGTCCAGCTCTCATATCTGTACATGGTGATTCAGAATACAGTGGCTTGGACGATTTTAAGTTTAGTACTCAGTTGCATATCTTTATATTTTAGGATCTATTCTAGCTCTTTAATGGTTGCCCCTCCCATTCCTAGTCTTCTTCTTATCTCTTGACTACAGTCTCTGTTCTGTGTGACGTTTAATCCAGGGTATGAGAAATCTTTAACTATTTCGATATCAATTTCCTTTTGAATTTATGTAGGTCCTCCATGGTCATTATTTTTGTTTTCTTTATGTTCAGCTGCAATCCTGCCTTTACACTTTCTTCCTTGGCTTTCCACAGTAAATGTTCCAAGTCCATTATTTTTTTCAGTACTAGTATGGTGCCACCCACATATCTTAGATTGTGTTCCTTCCTCCTATCATCACTCCTCCTTCTTCGAAGTCTAATCCTGTTCTTCGTATGACGTTCTCTGTGTACAAGTTGAAGAAGTAGGGTGATAAAATGCAGCCTTGCCTGATGCCTTTATGGATTGGGAACCATTCTGTTCCTTCATATTCTGTTATTATGCACCTTCAAAGTAACTCTGACTTATGGAGACCCTATCATAGGGTTTTCTTGGCAAGATTTATTCAGGGGAGGTTTGCCTTTATCTGAGACTGAGAGTGTGTGACTCATCCAAGGTCACCCAGTGGGTTTCCATGGCTGACTGGGGATTTGAACTTTGGTCTCCTGGAGTCCTAGTTTAACAAGTAAAGCACTTTTTCACACTTGTAATAGAAATATTATCATAATTGTGAGCATTCACACTCAATTTCCTGAAATGGTACCATGGTTAATGCACGATTGCCAGGGATCTATAGGCTGCAAAGCAGATCTTCACAGAGTGCTGTAGAACTCACTACTTAGCTTTAAAGTGGAGTTAGACAAATTCAAGGAAGCTAAGGCTGCTATCAGTAGCTACTCATCATGATGGTTAGATATTATCTCCAAATATGTGCTAGGCAACAGAAACAAGGTGCCATCGCCTTCATTTTCTACTGTAGGCTTCCAGTAGACAACTGGTTGGCCGCTGTGGGATCAAAATATTAATCTAGATAAGTCTTTGTTTTGACCCAGTAAGACTCTTGTTATTTTTTATTTTGGCTTTCTGTCGGTCTGTCTGTCTCTATCTTTCTCCCAAAATGGGACCCAAGGGAGTTTACAGTAAAAGATTAAAACAAAATGTTGCAGTTGTTGTTGTTGTTGTTGTTGTTGCTGTTGTGCTTTCAAGTAATTTCTGATTATGACAACCTTAGGTGATCGTATCATGGGATTCTCTTGGCAAGATGTGTTTAGTTTGGGTTTTCATTGCCTTTCTCTGAAGCTGAGAGAGTATGACTTGATCAAAGTCACCCAGTGCACATCCACACTGCAGAAATAAAGCAGTTGACACCACTTTAACTACTATCATACAGAATCTTGGGATTTATAGTCTGGTGAGGCACCTGAGCAATCAGACAGACCAGGCTGAATATCTCACCAAACTACAAATCCTCGGATTCCATAGGATGGAGCCACGGCAGTTAAAGTGGTATCAAACTGCTTTATTTCTGCAGTGCAGAAGATCTGCCAATGGGTTTCCATGCCCTAGCAGGGATTTGAACCTTGGTCCCTCAGAGTCCTAATCCAACGTTGAAACTACTACCCAGCAATGGTTGCCTTTAAAAATATCCAACAGGTTATTTTTCCGGTTTGGCCATAAAAATATTTTCCTCCGAAATCTCCTCCTGCATGCTGTTCCTGGATTTGTTCTTTTCTTCTTAATATCAAAAGCAAAGATTCTCCAGAGTGTTGTCACCAGTCTTTAGAGATTAAGTGGATCACGTGTCTTCTACTTTCTGTTTCCAGCTGCCACGGAACATTAAAAGAAACTAACACTTAATGCTTGCCTTAATATTACTTTCCATATTTCTCTAGAGTTGCCATGGGGATGTTATGTGAACATGACTCGAAGAGAAAGTGATCTAAGAGGGAACCATTTCCCTATCTAGCTGTTATTCATACTAATTAAATAGCAGAAAACTACTTTCCCAGCAACTGGCATAAAGACAGGTTTTTTGGGGGGTGGGGGAAAACTCATTTTGACATTTTGGTCTGTTTATTTTTAAATCTAAGGTTGGGTTCTTGACAACAAGTTTGTGCGTTCATTCTATGTTGCAATAATTAGTAGACATTGATGCTAGGGACAAGAGCTTGGAAAAGTTATGTTTGGGAGGATAGACAGTCAGCCCTCCGTTATTCATGGAGAGGCGACCTCCATTGAAATCAATGGGATGCGCCCCATTCAAGCCTACGGGGCTTGAAAATTGGTGAGTCTCCATTTTCACGGGTGTGGGGTCCGGAACAGATCCCCCATGAAAACGAAGGGCCAACTGTAATCCCACTAGCTATCCTGGCTAGGGGATGTGGGGAGTTATAGTCCAAAAACAGTAAGATTTCCAATCTTTTCTAGGTACAAGCATTTCAATAGTTTCTCAGTTAGAAGACCTGTAATGGTAGATCAGTTCTCCCAATGATGATGATGATAATTTTTATTTAGATTTCCCGCATCTCCCTATGGATCGAGGCGGGATTACAACAATAAAAGTGTTCATCAGTGTACAAAAATACAATGAATAAAATCACAACATTATTGATAGATCAATAAAATAAATACAATAAAATAACCAATTGTCATCAGCACCCAGAAGGCCATATACAATAGCACTTATTTAGCTTAAAGATTCATTAAGAAAATCAGGTGGATAGGCCTGCGGGAAGAGCTCTGTCTTAAGTGCCTTCTTAAAGGCTTCTAAAGTAGTGGTAAGATGGATCTCTTCCGGTAGGCTGTTCCATAACTTGGGGGCTGCGGCAGTAAACGATCTGTCGGAAGTTGAACTCAGTCTAGTTTTATAATAATCTAATAAATTCTTCCCAGATGTTCTGAGAGTGCGGGGCGGATTATGATAGCCACCCCAATCCAGTAGAAGGAGGTAGGGTGATGTGGGAAGAGTTCTAGGCTGCATCAATGGAAGTATGGTGTCTAGATCAAGGGCAGTAATAGTGTCACTTTATTCTGCTTTGGTCAGGCCTCACCTGGAATATTGTGTCCAGTTCTGGGCACCACAGTCCAAAAAGTATGTTGAAAAGATACATGTCAGAGATCCGTCAGATTATGAGTTTATGTAGCTTTAAAAAGGCTGTGAGGACGGATCTCTTTCGGCAGGCCTTTCCTGATTAGATCTAGGCCTCATAGAATCATAGAATCATAGAGTTGGAAGAGACCACAAGGG